GAGAGAGAGAGAGAGAGAGAGAGAGAGAGAGAGAGAGAGAGAGAGAGAGAATGTGTGTATATACCTTTTTGCTTCGTATTTTGACAAAATTGCTCATGGCTAAATTCTGTTATACGGTGAAATTTATAGTCCGTTCTTACTCTAAAACCGTCTTAAGTAATATCTTAAGATGTTAACGCAGCTCTCTGATTGGTTCGTGACATCTTAAAGGGTCCTCTACATAGAAGTCATAGACGGTCGTGGAGTCTTAAGTCATAGGAAACCAACCAATCATAATCAAATTTAAAGGGAATATTCGATTAGAATTGGTCAGTTTCCTACAACTTAAGACTCCACAATCGTCTACGTCTTCTATGTAGGGGACCCTTAAGACTGCACTTAAGACGGTTGTAAGGCCATTCTACATTGGTCGTATCGTAGACGTCGCAAATCACAAGCTTGTTGCTTCAGCCACTCCGATGCTTCAATTTTAAAGTTGTATGATGCTTACGACGCTTCCGACGCTACGATACGACCAATGTAGAATGGTCTTTAAATATAAGATCCGACTATGAATACCGGTCATAGAGTCTGTAGACACTAGTAAGAAGATAGCAGAAAATTATTGCAAAAATATGGCAAATATTGTTGCAGTTTTTGCAGCAGTGTTTCAACGCACCAACTCCGTACTGTTGATTAAATTTACATTGAGCAGTGCCCCATCCAACTTGCATCACTCCTTTGGATCCAAGTTGTACCTCATACATCCATTTTCCCTTGAACACTCCTGTATTGGCTCGTATTGTGCTGAAGCTACTCTGCGAATTGACACTCAATCTGTCAGGGGAGATAATGCAGAGACCATGTTGTATGGATATGTCGAATCTAACGAAATGAGGACCTATACGCCCTTCTCTATTGTCCTCGGAATTCCACATATCAATATACAGATTCAAGAGAGATTTTCTAATATGCTCGTTTACCCAATTCAAATTCTGAAATGATCTAAAACAAAATATGGCAACAATTGTAATAATTGATAGAGAATGTCGCATTACTAGTAAAATTTAAAAGGTACAAAATATAAAAGTATAACAGGAAAATATAAAAATATAGCACATTTAAGTGTATTACGTCCTATTTCATTTTGATACATATCTCAGCTTTTTTCAGCTGCACTGTCAAGTACTTTTTGCGACATAATATGAAATAAAAATAAAAAATTGTAAAGCTAGGGTATTTAAAGCAGATATGTACATGGACTTTCAGATCTTATCTACAATAGGGTTTTCTGCAGTTTCAATTTTACTTCTTTTTTTATCATAGATAAATTGAAACAAAATTTTATTACGATATAAATTCCTTGTTACTTAAAACTTTGTGAGACTTGGTGTGAAAAATACAGAATTTCCAGATTCTAGTTAGATTTAAAAGAGAACGAAAGTTTATATTACTTTTTTTATATAATTGTCAATAATAAGAATCGGTTTAGATTTATAGTCGAATTAGCTTACCACGTATTTTGTGACAAAAGTCCTCGCCAGTATAATTCGGAGTTTTTAATGTAAATTGACAACTTTTGAAAAACTTTATTAAGAACTATTCTTGACAAAATGTGATGGCCGTATCTTGCGACAGTCTTTATACATTATGTAGGGAAAGGAGAGAGAAGAAAAGTAGAGGAGAATAGTTTATTGGTGAGTAGAGGGGCTTTTTTCGATAATTGATAGATGTCAGAAAAGCGTTCTATATCGCTCTGTTTATTCAAACACATTTTTTGTCTTTTGATATGTATCATCTCGGAGACCATTCTTTTATGATATGATTGTTTGGAATCTAAAATTTTTGTGTTCTCCCAATCAATCCTATGATCGTGAACTAGTCTGTGATATGAGATAACAGACATGGCATTACTTGGTTTTTTTATGTCATTATTGTGTTCTTTTAAACGAGTCTTTAATTTCCTTTTTGTCTGTCCTACATATGAAGAGTTGCAGTCGAGACAATTTATTTTATACACATTTGAGTGATCTTCTTTTTTAATTTTATCTTTGATTGTTTTTAATAAAAGTATTCAAACAATTCATAGATTTGTGGATAATTTTGAAATCAAATTATTGTATAATAGTTTTGAATGTTTCTGATATTTTATTAAGAACTAATGAAATATTTTTTGTAATTTCTATGGAATCCGAGCTGACCCTATACGTTCCTTGATATTATCAAAATTATTTTTGAAAGATAAAGCTTTTATCCTATTATTGATTATTGAAAATAGGAATTCCATTTTCAAGGATTATATATATATATATGAAATTTAGGATAGGCAAGGAATAGAATTCTGTTTAACTAGTCTGATTACTACACCTTTTTTGTGTTCTGTAGGATGATTTGAATTGACATTCAAGTATCTACCAGAATTAGTAGACTTTTTGTAATTGTCAAAAATAATTTCTCTATCATCTATTAACAGCGGAAACCAATAGCGTTTTTTATTGGCAAAACTAGTGCGCACTCAGTGCACTTTAAAGCCGTTGTACAAAAATCGACGTAAAGATATACGTTCAATAAGAACCCAGCTTCTGCTCAGATTAAGGACTTAACTCTCACCTAGATTGTCCGAGATGATCGTCTTTAGATCTACCGGCGGCGGTACGCTCGACGTTGAAAGGGCTCGCTCCGAAGATTCTATACAGAACTTTGTCCGCGTCCATCGCCGCTACTGCGAATTTACATTCAATGAGCAAGATGTTAGATAGGTTAAACCGTACCGCGAGGCAACATCGCCGATCTTACACGAGCGATTCCGCGCCCTAATCTCACACTATACTCCCAAACGCAGAACCGCTACGTCTCTAGCGAGTCGCGTCGCGTGTCGATCGATGGACAGCGTCGACGCCGTCGACAGCGACAAACGGCGATAAAATAATCGATAGACAACAGCCCTCGCGAGTCGCGAAGAGAGTCGGGAGTTTCGATTTTATGCAAATTGTGAGTACGTCCGTCGAAGGCGTCAACATCGCCACGTCTAAAATCCCTATACAGAATGTCTGGGGGTCAATCATGAAATTTCACCTGAAACTTTTCAAGTTTCATCTTTAGGGTGCCGTCACATGCGGCGTAACTTGTGTAAGCGTAACTTGCGCCTACCAATCATATCATTTCACTTGAACATCAATTTCTGTCTAGTCACAACGCCTAAAGGCCCGTCTACAATGCACGGAGTAAGAAGTAAGAGTAAGAAATTGACCAATCACAGTCGATTATTCTTCTCACATTCGACTGTGATTGGTCAATTTCTTACTCTTACTTCTTACTCCGTGTATTGTAGACGGGCCTTAACGCTCTCAATGGAAACGTCCATAATCCGCAGTCGCAGTCGGTGCTTGCTGCCTAATATCGCCTACCTTTACCGGCTCCTCGCAATATATATTTATCGGTCATTATTGGTATTTACCATCAATTTTCACGACCATTCTCGATAGGATAGAGATCTGGAGAGGACAATTGAGTTTCGAAGAAAAATAAGTAACGCGACGAGAAACGTCCACGACTCGTCTGATTATGTTCCAACGTGTGTTTACATCAACTTCACGCAGTGTGTCGGTAAGCCCACGTGGTGTCTCGATAACGTCTGTCAAGATCAAAGCCATTAGAGATTTCTCTTATTTTCATTTTAATGTAAAAATGAATTTTTTATGTAAAATTAAAAAAATTTTTTAGCCGTCGGTCAGCTACTTTAGAGGTAATGTTAATGCTGGCGGTATTGCAACTTTCAATCTTCCCTTCCTTGCATAATGACTCTATGCGAAGCAAGGTCCATTCCAGTCCACTCCATACTTCCTCTACCTAAAGAGATCCAACTTTTCATGCGCTAAGGGAGCGTGGTCTGGAACTCGCTTCGTGTAGAACGTCTGCTTTAAAACACATATTCTTTGCTTTAGAAACAAATTCTCTGCTTTATAACAAATTCTCTACTTTAAAAATGCAATTTCTCTGCTTCAAAAACAAACCTCACAATTTGAAATATACTTAATAAAAGAATACTTTATTATAATGTTTTGGAAAGCTCTTGAGGTAAGCTACATATGAAATAAAAAATGGGGTTTCCATTAAAAAAGAAATTATATAACATTGACCTGACTTTAAGGATGTCTCTTCAAGAGATCGATTCAGGTCATCATCTTCTTTCCCCCTTGAAACTATAAAACTTTTGTTTGAAAGACTTTTTGAAAAAAATTTCTCCTTTTTGAGATATTTGCGTGCATTAGTTTAAATAATCTATCCTGAATATACAATATGTATTACTACTTATTCACACATGCTGTGTGTTTTGTTTTTCTTTGTGTATATAATATAAATCTGAATTTAAATATTACATATAATCTTTAAGTTAATAAATTTACAAATAGTATTTCTATAAATAAAAGAAAAAAATATACACATTATAATCTTTTCACCTACGTCTTTCTACACTTTTTGTAAATAAGAAAGATAAGTAAGCTTGTTAGAATTTAATAAGATTCATTTCTTTGCTCAAATTTAATCTCTCTTGAGCAATATTTTGCATACTATAGATAAACGATGAGACTAACAAGAACTGCAATGAGAAAGATGAATGAAACCAAATTGTTGCAGCTGCTATCTCGACTGTGGAATGGATCCAATGGTATACTTGCGGGTAAGCATGCCGAAGAGAAAATGATATCCATCCTGAGGAACAGGTTTCCGCAAGCTCAATTGATTGAAGTTACCGATGTATCAGGTACGGACTTACTTTACGCCTTATTATACCGGAAAATCAGCTTACTCCCGATGTGTCTTAAAGAGCTGCCGCGCACAAAATTCCGCAACAGTGCAAAAGACCGTAAGACATAAACTTAAGCTGATGAGCCAATCGGGATATTGCTTTAGATTTACGTAATTTGACGGAAATATAAATAGTAAATTAAAGGGAACGTTTATATTGGCCGTAACCGTATGCCGTAATCTGTAAAAATTGACCAATCACCTTCGACTATTCCCTTCTTACCGTCGAATGAGAGGGGAATACTTGACTGTGATTAGTTAATTCTTACAGATTACGGCATATGGCATACGGTGTTACGGCCAATATAAACGCTCCCTTATCCATAAGACAAACTTCAACTGATTAGTTGCTGCTTAAGACGTAAGCAGTAAAGAAATCAACATGTTGGATTGGTTATTGCTTACGTTGTAGTTTTACGGATTCTACTGTGATTGGTCAATTCGTTTATTGCTTACGTTTGACTACTCAAGTTTTTATGTGTACCATGGCTCGTAAAAAATATACTTAGGGTATATCCACACAAACTTGCATAGCCGCATAAACATATACATAAAGAAAATTATCCAATCACATTTTATGTACGACTTTAAAAGAGAACTGCAATTGGATAATTTTCTTTATGTATATTTTCTTTATGCGGCTATGCAAGTTTGTGTGGATATATCCTTAGCGATACATTGATATAACAGCAATTTTACTTTAGGAGGATGCGGTGCTATGTTTGACATAAATGTCGTTGCCTCAGAATTCAAAGGACTAAATACTGTAAAGCAACATCAAATTATTAATAAGGTAAAGTGTCCTTTGATTTTTTTTAACCGAAGAATATATGAAAATGAGAGTGGTTGTATCATTTTGTTAGGGAGTGTGTGTAGTATAATTAATCTATTTTATTGCTTAAGGTTCTTAAGGAAGAAATCAAAGATATGCATGGTCTCCGAATACGTACGAGTATCCCACAAACATAAATGTTATTTTTGGACTGTTGTTAAATTAATTTTACAGAAGGAATAACCAATATCGATTTTAATGAATCTAATAATGGACGTCTTAATATCTATTTCAAGAGTTTTTAAAAGTTTGTTCAAGATAATCAAGAATTTTCAAATTTTCGATGATATTAAAGATAATTCTAGATTTTCGTCACATATTCAAGACAATTTGTTGTATAATCGGTCCATTATTAGCTCGAATCTTCATCAATATCTGAAGATCTTGTATAAAATATAGATAACGTTATGTATATTTTATAGGATGTAAATTATATGAACAAATGTAAAACAAATTTTAGAAAAAAAAATAATTGAGATAAAAGTAGAAATTTTATTAATGAAAGAAAAATTTATATTCATTATGCAGAAAGTCAATTTGGCGAAAATTATGTTACTATTGTATCGGTGTCTACCCATTTTCGATCACGCCCAATTACGAACGAAAGCCTATCACTTCTCACTTAATCCTTATGTTATTCCGTTTTTTGTCTTGCATACGCTCATCTAATTGTTTTGTCGTGTCGCAAACAAAGAGGTTGTATATATAGAGTAGGGAAGCCAGCTAAAGGCCACAGCACAGACTTGTGCATAACGCATAGTGCATAAGAGTTTGTGCTACGGCCTTACGAATGCACAAGCGAATAGAAAGAAACAAAAAACGAGATAGCCAGGGCTGCGTTCGGATTCCCACTCGGGTGCTCCTCGAAAAGTTTTTTACAGGAAAACTGCAAGAGACAAAAATCATTTATTTTCTTCTCATAGAACTCTAAGAATTTTTTATCAACTTTTTAGTACTGCATTTTCTTATTTTCGATAAGTCGGGCCGCTACTATGACTCAACGAATTAATACACTGCACTGTACCGCACTAATTTGTGTGTATGCACATATACGTACATGCACACATGCACATTTGCGGAAGTTGAGCTATAAATAGCGGAAACAATCAGAGAAGAGAAACGCTATCCGTTCCACTCTCCCTTGAATGGCTGCATTCAGCAGAGAAAGCAGCTTTGCAATTGTTGTAAAATTCTTCAATGTGATTGCCCTTAGTTCCTCATTGGATCTAAATGTATAAACCAATCATATTCAAGAATTTTACAACAGTTGCAAAGCTGCTTTCTCTGCTGAACGCAGCCATTCTCTGCCGTGTATCATCTTATCCTTAAGGCCCGTCTACAATACACGGAGTAAGAAGTGAGAGTAAGAAATTGACCAATCACAGTCGAATGTGAGAAGAATAATCGACTGTGATTGGTCAATTTCTTACTCTTCTTACTCCGTGTATTGTAGACGACGCCTTATACACACTACGTATTTCACAATACATGATTTCTGATAGGTTGAAATTCTTATTCTCTATTCCCTGTTCCTTTTATTGTGCGGAGCCCCGACCGAACTAGGGTTTGGAAAGTGTGGTCAAAATCAGGTTTCTGAATGGGTATTGATGGTTCTCGGTAGGCGGCGTCCGAATCGCAAAACTCTCATATACGCTTACGCATACACAACCGAACACACATAATCTAAGAATAGAGATGTTATTCTTTGACATCATGTTCTGACAATAAGAGGAAGACGTAAATTCACATAAATTGTCATTAAAACTGCGTGAAGAATGAAGCATTCTTCATGTAAAATTGGCATACCATGCAAACTGCTAGAACGATTTCGGTCGTGAAACGAAAGCGACATCTAGATCGAACTAATTCAGATGATCACTTTTGAACACGCTTTTTGAGAATCTCGTCTATTACTACGTTTACACGGTACGCTTTACCCCGGATCTACAATAGGGTTTTAAGCCTTAAGCCATAAGAAATGGGCGAATCACAGTCGCTTATTCTTCTCGGATTCGACTGTAATTGGTCAATTTCTTACAGCATAAGGCATAAAACACCTATTGTAGATCCGGACTTACGCTGAAGTTATAACATCGATGTTATGAAACTGGCCAATCATAGCTGTTCCTCTGAAGAATGGAATGACTGTGATTGGTCAGTTTCGTAACATCGATGTTATAACTTCGGTGTAAAGCGTGCCGTGCAGTGCCGTGTAAACGTAGTATATGTCAGTCAAAGTCATAGAGAATGGTCTACGCAATCCGTGTGTCAAAATGGTCGATAAGGATGAGAGAGAAGGACTGTGGCAGACGGCAATTTCTATCTCTTTCCATTCAATGGTGTAATGGGAGAGAGAATGAGAGGAAGATTGACCGTCTTCCACGGTCCCTCTCTCTCATTATTGTCGACCACATTTGATACACTACTTAGATACGGATCGCGCAGTCCATTCTCTATGTCTTTGATGTCAGTTCGGTCTCCTGGTCTCTACATACTCCATGAATTCTAGAGATGGTCATCAGCATCCTTGTTTAATCGCGAGAATAAAAGCATCCTTATTTAATCGCTTGTTTAATCATGAGAATATCGATCATGTTATTTTTTCTCTAGATCATGTAACTTTTTCTATTTTTCTATTTGAAAATCATACGTACGTACACTACCGCCAATACGTCCGTTTTCGGTTTGAATACTACGTGGCTACATCCATTTTCTGACCCTGTCGATAAAATCATGACCACCGCAGCAAGCTAATAACTATAGTACAATGCGGAGCATTAATTCGCTGGGTCATAGTAGTGGCTTGACTTATCGACGCTGTGTCGGTAACGTTCAAAGTGCGCGCGCGCTTGAAATGAGAATCGCTGAAAAACTGTGTGGAAATTTATTGCATATTTTTCCTGTTGCGTATAAATTATATATTCTTGCAGAAATGCATGAATTGTATCTCCGTTTATGTTTACACTGCATTTTTTTCCTGTTGCGTATAAAATTATATATTGCGCAAATAAGTACACATATAACATAACGGAAATAAACATATGTATATAAAGAAATGTAAAAGATAAAGGAATGGATTATTTATTAAAATAAAAATGATCTTTTTAAGAAGTTATTCTTTTCGTTGGTAATAAATTATGACTGTTTCTCTCCTCCTCCTCTCTCTCTCTCTCTCTCTCTCTCTCTCTGACAAATAATTAGGTGATTTTAATTCAAAAATAAATAATAATAAATGTTTATGAATATTTATCATAAATATTCTGTGCTGTCTGGGTAATCTTCGACATTTTTAAATATATGTTTATCTCCGTTATACCACCGATGAGATATTATTAAAAACCGTCAACCCTGGGCAAATTTTCGGTGGTATAAAAAGGGCTCCAAGAGCCCGGAGGGGCTCTAATTCAAGAAGGCTGACATTACCGACAATTGATATAAATTTGCTATTATTAACATAAATATTTGGCTCATGCATTATTAAATTCATGATTTTTTATTACATAAATGTCCCATAAATAAATATACATACTTGTAAAGCTGTAATATCCTATATATTGCAAAAAAAAAATCACAATTTTTTCTCTGCAATTATTAATATAAAGAATAAAACTTTTATTCTTTATATTATGTTTCAATAATATAAAGAATAAAATAAGAATAAAATATTTTAAATCCGGAACGAAAATCGAAAATTGTTGAAAATCGTGATGTTACCTGAAAGCGTCAAAGCGCAAATTGGGATGGATGCGGAGGAATTTGCCGATGTAGTCGGACGAATAAACCTCGTTTGCTGGTATAATATAGTATAGCCTGTAAGTTTCGTTTATTATGATATCCATATGTGTCATTAGCCTTAATGGGAGAAACGATCGATTAAGATATTATGCGCTCCTCTTAGATCATCCACTGATAAAACATGGCTACACTAAATTATACATATGTATGTTGTTATTAAATTACGTTTACAGATTCGTTAAAAATCGTTATCGTGCGGCGTGTAATCGGCGCCGTATAAAAAAAAGAAATGGAGAGATTACAAAAATACGCAATCTGTGGATATAAGACAATAAAAACAAAAGAAAAAGAGAGAACGATGGGGCAGCATTTAAAAATCGGAAAGACCGTGTGAGGATTGATAATCACAAATTACGGTACGAGTTAACGTGGACGAGGGGCGTCGTATTCTCTTTTCGCTTTGGTATTTCATAGGTGCGGTGGGTATAGCGCCTGCAATGTTAAACGATTCTCACGTCTCAGCCAGTGCTATCGCGTGCTCGGACTTTCTTTCCGAATCATTCAATATATGGTAAAATCCTCGACGTGCCGACATTAATCCCAACGACAGATTTACTTTGTATCAACATCGATTTTTTCATAACCGCAGATGTTTCAAATGCGCATTACTAAAAATAGAATATTTCTCGCGAATTCTAAATTACAAATTATTTTTGTTATTCGCTTCGTGATTTTGAGCGAATTGCGCGTTTCCCGAATACTTTGGATTACAAAAAGTATCTATTGAGGCACTATCGGAGAAAAGTCTGTTAATCTTTCAAAGCTGACGTGGATCTAATTGGATCCATTCTATTGGATAATAAAGATTCTGATAAATAAAAATAATTCAACTTTCTTTTGTGGAATAATATTGAAATAAAAATTACATTATTATTTGAATTTACTATCGATTCTTAATTCTTGTATCTATTATTGTAGCAATTACACTATTTTACATAAAACAATTTAATTTTCTTTATGTTACATCTGTAAAAATTTGGATTGTTCTTATTAAAATAAACTTAATAAACTAATAGTCACTTTATTTTATACGAATTATGTCATTTTGGTTCCTCGAAATTAATTAGTGCCTTTTAATTAACATATATTAAATGGATCTCATAGATCCAATGTTATAGTAACTGTTAGGCCCAGTTTCCTTGGGCCTTGGAGATTTTGACGTCAATTCTGAAAGGTTAATGTCCATTTCTACCAATGTAAGTTTACTTTAACCTCGGTTTAATTTATTAATTGGAATTAGAAAAGAATAAAAAGTAAGTTAAACTGAGACCAAGGGTCCGTTTTTTGTGGCTGAATTAGTGTATCCTTTTGGAACTTAAAGTGAGATAAGTACATATTTAATATTTGACGAAAGCGAGAGAGTTCTAGTGCAGTCTAGTGTAGGAATAAAAAATAGACCTTAAAATTAATTTACATTGGTGAAAATTGTCAACTCAAAGTCTGTATTGACGGAATAATTAAAGGCGAGGATTATTCGGCAACGTCCTCCACGAATGTATAGGGTCACAATCGTAAGTGCTAAGATATCGATCCGTGATAAGGATAGCGACAACGCTGGCGACGCCAGAACCACTTAACGCGTGCTAAACATTTAGTCGATATACACATAAAATGAGGAAGCGTCGCGCGTGTTTAAACACGCGACCTTTGAAATTCGCGCGAATCCTGCCGAGCGAACGGATTTCTTTCGCGAATACGCGATTACACGGTATACATTTTTCTGCGTGTTGACGTCATGTACGTGTATACGATAATCGTTAAATCACGAATATAAGTTTCTTCTTTCTCTTCTCCTTGGAGAGATGACGATGTGGGAATAACATCGAGGTAAGTTGTGAAGAGTGTGTTCCTTTTATAATTTTCTTTTCCTTCTTTCCTCCCGTCTTGTCTCGTTGGTATCGGAAGTGTAATAAACGACAGTAAACGACGACAGCTCGACGACGCCGCGTCAATCGGCAAATATTCGCGTCATCGTCGTCGTTGTCGCCATAAATCACCTAGATCCTTCCTCCTTCTTCTCTCTCTGTTGTCTTTATCTCGAATATATCGAACATCGCTGTTTGGATTAGTTAGTACCTATAATTAAGATCGGCACGCGGTATACATAGTAGTACAATGTATCCTATTACAATAAACCTATCGATAAAGTCGCGGGGACTCTTTCCTCTTTCACTCTCACTCTCACTTCCGCTCTACGACGCGAGAAAAAATAGACCTGGACCCATGACCAGGAAGATGTCTTGGGAAGATGAGAAGATTACCGAGCAGCACGCACGTTCTTCCTTACGTTTTATCCGAGGAATGTCCTGAGAATATCCCTGGGACATTCTAAAAACGATCCCAGAACGTCCTCTCGACATCGCGGTAAGACGTCCCTTGGAAATCTGTGCTGTATAGGTCTCCACTTCTTCTCTCTCTTTCTTTCTTCTCTCTTTTCATACTGACACTCGCTCACACATAAAGGAACCATTGAACGCGCTAGCCGCGGCTCGCGACAGTGCTCGTCAAGTGTATAGTGACAATAGCAGGAAAATTCATCATTGGCGTACATATCGGGCACAACGCGCTAAAAAATAAATTATACCGTCGTCCAACTTTACAAACTCACGTTCTTCGACGTTAAACATCTTTCTTGCTCCTTTTCTCTCACACTCTCACATTTATTTCTCTCTCGCTCTCGCTCTCTTTCTCTCTCTCTCTCTCATTTTATTTTTTTTCTCTTTTATTCTTATCTTCGCTCGATGACTAGAAAGATCGCTTCGCGCGGATCACTTTGTAAAAAAATTAGCGAAAATGGAAAACATCTGTAGAAAAAATAAACTCGCCTCCGCGAGGATAGCACCGTGGTCTTGGCTCCAACACGCGCCAGATCCAGCGCAGTCGCGCGCGATCACCAATTTAGCTTCCGCGTCGCTATCTCGCGGCGACATTCCTTTCTTCTCGGGCACAATAATTAATACGATACAAGTCCTCGCGACTGGGCGGAGTAACTGGTCGATGGGTTAGGTTGGTCGCGTTTTCGTATATCGTTTTAAATTTACAACACGCGCACGTCTCCGAAATCGGTGAGACCTCGGGAATTATCTCGATACACGGTTACGATCGGCTTTTGACGTCCGGGTGCAGCGACGACTCGGGTTTCCGTTTCGTTATCGCGTCTCCTCCGATGATTCACGAGTGCGAGAGGGAAAACGGTTATTGTCAACATCATCCGAGAGCGACCGCGATTCGAGCGGATCTTACAGACTGGGAGATGTACTTGCCCCAGTAAATACTAACAATAACATTGCATCAATATTATAATTTTCCACTCAACGATGTGAACATCATATTACACACGTTGTACGTAATAGTTATACATTCCCTATAGTAAGAAATTACAACATTGGTGTCATATTATCATTAATTGATTTACTAGATGCATCTCCTTAAAACGTACGCGATATCGCCGATCGACTTGGTATCACTTTCATCGGCGGCGACTCAAAAGAGGCAAATCGGAAGACAGGCCGGACACGTCGCCGGCCTGCGTTCCGGTCCAGAACGCCAAACGCGCGTCGATCGCGAATGGTTAGCGTGAGCCCTCCCCCGAAGAGCTCCGCTCAGGTCTATTACAATGACGATCTTAATTGGCCTGTTCTGCACTATGCGCTTGTTTCTCGATCTTGCGCGCAAGTTCGGGGCTCATGTGCGGATGCGGGAACGGCAACACCGGTTTGCGCAGGATCGTCGGCTTGACCTTAACCTGTGGCTTAAACGACGAGACCACCTGGCTGCCGCCGGTCAGGTGCATGTCGGCGAATTTGGCAACGATTTTAGGGGTGGAACGTGGTGGTTGCCGCTGCCGCCGCCGCCGCCGCCGTCAACGACGATCTGATTCGAGCTGGTCGACCGAACAATCTCGTCGTTCTCCGCGTCGACACCCGTTCCGTCATGCTCCACCTCGATTCGCTTCAACTTGTTATTGCCGGTCGCGGCGATGGCGTTCTCCGAATTCGCAGTCTTCGTGTTTTTCTTCAGGGTGCACTGATTCTGTTTGGCAAAGCGCTCAGCGGCGGTACTCATGTCCGGCGACTCCGGACCGCCGGTCGGCGACGTGGCCGCCTCCGATCGGGTGGGTGGTGTCTGCTGCTGCGGCGCTAGCAGAGACAACGGCATTGTCGTCTCCTCGTCCGAACTGCTCAGACTGCTGGACGACGCAGACTTTTTACCGACTGGGTCCTGCGCCGACAACGGCAGATCCATCACCAGATCAGGTGTGTGTTTCTGTCGCATCTCGCGGAACTCCTGAGACGTGCGGGAGTAGGACGATGATTTGGGAGTCGACTGCGTCTGCGAGGTGGCGCGACGCTGCCAAAGTTCGCGATTTACTGAGAAATTGGTTGTTGTCTGCTGCTGCTGCTGCTGCGACTCCTGGTGCAACTCATCGTCCTGCATCACGATGGTCATCGTTGTCGTCGTCGTAGTAGTTGTTGTTGTTGTTGTTGTTGTTGTTGTCGTTGTTGTTGTTGTCGTCGTCGTAGTCGTCGGCATCGCCGCTATTGTGACGATCGTTGTCGAGGTCGGCAAAGAGTTTGTGTGCGACAGCTGCAACAGCTGCTGATGCTGCTGCACCATTAAGCTCTCGCCGACGCTCTGCGACTTCCAATACTGCTGTTTTCGGCCGGCGCCGCGTTTCGTCACGATACCATCCAGCGACAACATTGCCGTTAGCACATTGCTACTCAGATCCTCGCTCGTAACTTCCTCATTGCTGTTTCCGCCTCGTTGTTGCTGAGCACAGTTCGCGCTACCGCCGTCGATGCTGTCGACATTGTTCTCCAGAGAGATCTGGAGAACGCCGTCCGCGTTGTTCCTATGTTGCTGCTCCGAATGCATCTCGTTTTCCGTAGGGGAAGACGCTCTGACTGGCCTCAACGGAATCACGGTGTCAGCCTGCAAACAGTCACGGGAACAATCGTAGCGAGACTCGAAGTGCGCGCTAAGCGAGGGGCTAAATGGGTATATGTTGCCTGAGCGAAGCCGACAGACGGGTCTTGTTTACTATTGCGGGAAATACGCAGATACAACGTCGTCTTGATCTATCAGCGATCGTGCGCGCTGTAACGAGATACGAATTATTGTCGAATTATTATCGAATCACGTACGTCTCCTTCCTTCTTTTCAGGGAGTCTCGCCACCCATAGATGTATCTTTCAATCACAGAGATAAAAGAATTTATACCTGCTTTTTCAATACTGAAATGTCATCATAATTTTAAAACATGTTAATGATCAAAACTTTGTCCATCTTTTAAAATGAATCAGCGAAACAGGCGATGGAGTCCTATTTTGTATTCATTTTTAAATAAATTTTTTGCCTAGACTAAAATTTAAATTACAATTTAAATTACAATTTAGTTGCTGACATATTTAATATTACAAACATAGATAAAGTAGCAAATAACGTTCGTAATTATTAAAATTTTATAAAGATCGTCAACGACGAATTTGTAAGAATTTCTAGAAAGGCCATCCAATGGTAGTGGGACACCCTGCAGATAATTTTTCATGTAACAACGTATATATAGATAAAAATTGGGGCAAGTGAAATAATTCGTGTATAGTTTACAACTGCACGACATAACGACAACGTGAAATATATATGTAAATACCGAATGAGAGGGGTGCTGATTGTGTAATTAAACAAAGTATATTAATAAAATAAATTAGTTTCAAAAAATTTCCATCTAGTAATTAAAATATTAAGGATGGACTTTATATAATATGATTAAGTTGAAGATGAAATTTGTCAATTTATTTCAGGGACAAGAATAAATCGACATAATTCTCTGTTATTTATTACTATATTTCAGATATAGAAAATTAAGTTAATTGTGTAACAAAACTTATTAAAAATATAAAAGTTTTTTTATTAGGAAATTCGATTGGACGCACTCGTGTGCAATAGTGTATATTAAAACCATTGTACACTGATTTAATCTGTGTAAAAGTAAACGGCAAATATTTCGAATTATAAAATACAACAGATTTTTTTACCAAATTTTATTTAACAACACAATAAAATGTATCAAAGATTTCATGGTATATATAATTCATTTTTGTATTTATATTTATATTAAACACACATTTTTATGTCAATCTGTGTACGACGACTTTAATGTGTACCAGTGCGCATTGAATGCATTCTATCGAATTCGCTAATCGCTATATGTGTGTTACATTCAAAACGAGCCCGAGAATTTAGAGTACACATCGTTTTGCCAAAATATTTTCTAAGGAAGCAATTTATTATTTTCTGATCTAGTTTTCCTCAAGACACTTTGCACTTTACAAAATAAACCATTAGAAAAATTTACAAAATGATAACAACATAAATATAAAACATTTTCGCGTAAAAATTAACATTATTTATATTATTACTATTTTATAATAATATTTTTCTATTATCTTCTTCATTATTTATATTATTACTATTTTATAATAATATTTTTCTAATATCTTCTATTTTAGATTCAATTTATAACAAAACGTTTCAGAAAAACTAGATTAGAAAATAAGAAATTGCTTTTTTAAAGTCCAGAAATAGTGACTAAATTCTTCATCATGAACACGCTATCTGTTTCCAGGTTAAACTGCCAAATTTAGAATATGAATTTAAACATTCATCTATTCTACAATGTGTTCTTTGTTTCTTGTTTCTTGCTTTTTACCTCTCGTTTTTTCCCCTTTATAAACGTTTTATCGACAATTGCATCGCTTGATACATGTTTCCTGTTTCTTTCGAAATTCGTTAACTTTTATCTCGGGCGATATAAAACAAAAAAACCGGATAAGAAGCAAAAAGACAACATGTAAAAAATAGCAAAAAGCAGAAAATAAAAAGCACATTGTAGAATAGGCTTAAGATCTCAAAACAAACAAAAGTTTCCTCTGGAAGTTTGCTCGCAAACGTTTCGTTTAAGAGACATCATTTAAGAGACTTCTTAAGTTACAAAACTATAGGAATGAATATGTAATTTAGATTTATTTCTCTTACTGCTTTACAATAATCAAAATACAATTATTGAATGTTTTATTCAAAATGATGAATAAACTCCAACCCTGAGATAAATATTGCACCTACCTGGTAAAACAAGAAGCTGACTAACAATGTACGTTTGTAATTTCTTCGCACGCTTGCATTATCTGCTTTAATAATTAAAAATCATTAACGGATATTTCATCCACTTTTTGCTTCAGAGAAAATAAAATCACAAGAGATACTTATGAACAAATTTCCAAAGAAAATTTTGTTTGTTTTAAAATTCTAAATTCGTATTTTAAGTTTGGCGGTTTAACCCGAGAACACCCTGCAAGCAATAAATAATAGCTCGAACGAAAACTTTGTCCTCTCTTTTATTCATTTCCTTGAAAGAAATTCACAAATGTTTCTTCCAATTTAATCATACAAACTTCCCGTCCCTTTTTAAACATTCTTTGAAAGTATTCTTTCGACACACGATCGATTTGGAATAGCATCTGTAAAATTGAAATTTCGAGATATTATTGCTAATCGGTTACATGCAAATCGACGGACAAATATAAAGGGATAAAGTACACGCACGCACGCACGCACGCACGCACGCACGCAGGCAGGACAATACCACTTGAGGAGAGGGCAAGATTAAAAACTGCTCGTAAAACTGACAATGAGATAGACATAAGCGGGTACACATACCGTCGTAATAAACGATGAAATAGCTTACCTCTCTTTCTTTCTTTTTATTTCCCGGATGAGTTAATAGTGGCTATATAAAACTATTGCAATGAATGAGATTACTCTCTTTACTCACCTCGGAAGCCGAAAAGATATCCGCTGGAAACAAGCAGGCCCCCCGCACGAGCGACATTTTTTCATCTCGTCTACAAATCAATGAGGAAAAATTCGCTCTACGAAGAAACTTTAAAAAACTCTCACAAAACTCGACAAAGAAAAAAAATATTTTTGAAAGAAAGAAAACGAAGCTTCGTTCTATTGTCGAAATCTTAATCACGCGAGCTTAACGACACAACACGACAATAATAAAAATAACTAGTCACACAACTAACAACACTGGCGATCAGTTTTATCGAACAGTTTTTAGTCCACGTTTCGTTCTGCGTACATGTGTGCGGCGCGTGAAAACAGCACGGCTTTTCTCGCCAACTAAAGGACCAAGAGACTAAACGTATATCTGGAAACACATCAACCATCCCAATCGTTAAAACAATCGTTAACAAAAAAGGAAAAAACGTAAGGAAGAAAAATCAAAACATACATACGCACATAATAAAAAAACGGTGCAATGAAGGACAAGACAACAGGTGGCGAACAAGACAAGAACAACCACAAGGCGAGGACATGCAGCACAAAGTAAACATGTGTATTTATATTTTATTTACAGATGTATCGTACAAATATTCGTATAAAAGTCCTCTACAAGTGCTCGTGTGTGCTATACCAAACTGTGAAGTTAACTTAAAAAATAAAACGTCTCTATAAGAGCAAAGTGCTCTCCTACGTCTCGTCGTTTTCCCCAATTCTGCATCACTGCGTTGTCGGTTCTGCCCGCGAAACTCTTTCCGATACTTATACTATATCTCAAAATCACAGCAACGATCGCATACATTTCGTGACAAACGACAACTTGTTGAATTAACCCTCGAATTTATTCAGCCACTAAACTTTTTTTTCGAAAACTTTTTCATGGAGAACGAAAGGTACTTAACATTTGATTATGAGAGAATAAATCCGCGCGGATTATACAACGAAACGATACGAGGATCTGATGATATCATACAAATGCAGTGCAAGGCAAGAGAGTGTTGTCAATCTGTGTTGTGCAAATGGCGATTTCGTTCGCTCGAGAATATAATAGATGAAAAAAAAAAAGATATTTTATAGCTCTCGAACAGCCATGCACCTGAGTGCGCGTCGTGAAGAGTACAGAGAGACGATAAAACTCTGCGTCGCGTCGGTGCGTCGGTATAGTACCAGTGCGACAAATACACGCTAAAAAGCGAATACAAGGAGGAGAGAGAATCGGGCACATAGATTGAGTCAGATCACCTACTAAACAGTAGTTTCTAATACCTCTCGACTGATGATCGGCTGCGCCGATGACGAGATGCAGGGCACATTCGTCACCACGGACGCAATAATACCGCTGGCGTTACTATTGTCCGTTATTATGTTCGTCGTGGCGGATGATGACATGTCGGACGCTGCACCAGACGACCAGGTGCTCGGATTCGCCGACGGGCCCATCAGCGGCGAATTATTGCTCGACAATACGCTGTCCGCCGAGCTGGACGCTCTTCTACGCATAGATTCCTCGCTGGATGATTTTAAAAGTTCCTTCTCACGCTCCTCATCCCTGAAAAAAATACAGAAATAAAACGAGATTAAAACTGATCAAATAATAAATTCGAATTTAAGGCATAAATAAAATAGTAAATTTACTTAAATAATAATTTAATGTAAATTACGATTTTGACAAAGACTTCACATATATTTTATAAGAAATTGTCTCCCGATTAGTAATGAGTCATATGGTTTATTGAAACTTGCAGAGAACTGTGAACACAATAATTTTTGCTTCTGAACATTTTGAAAATTGTCAATATTCAATGTCGCGCGTATAGAGACTGGAGATTAAATTGCACTGACAGAAAAGTTTTTAATATTTGTGGTCATAATTGTATAGTAGGATAAATATAAGGCGCTCCATTTTTATAATTATTACTGCTATAATATTAGTAATAATATTTATATTTATACAATAATAAATCTGTTAGGACCGTACATGTGAGAACACAATCAATAGGAAATAAATACCTTTAACGGTCTAGCTAGATCTAAGGTGCTTGTATAATTCTGTGTGAATTTATATACTATGTATATAGTTCTTTAAACTGCGCGTCGAAATGATTTTTCACTTGAAACGCAAACTCTATTGAACTACCGCAATAATATCATGAATTAAATTGACTATGAACAGTTAAAACTTTTTTCAGCCTCAATCCGGGTCTTCAAATTATATTATAAAAAAGTTACAGCAATGTACAAAATCGCATAGAGTATGTTGTACCCATGTTCGGCTTGCTAGGGTTAAGATCGTTTTAAGATCGTTCTAAAATGCATAAGAGAATTTTAGAACGATCTTAACCCTAGCAAGCCGAACATGGGTACAACGTTCCCTATGCGATTTTTTACATTGCTGTAACTTTTTTATAATATAATTTGAAGACCCGGATTGAGACTGAAAAAAGTTTTAACTGTTCATAGATATGATAAACCTGCAAGGGTATTTTTTTTGCGTTATTCTCGATGTAAGAATGCACGAAAGTTCAAAGAGGGTACTTGGGACCCACATGTGATTAGCTTGTAAGTTTTCGGCGTTCTGGGTATATTCCTTTATTTTTTTATTAAATATATGTTTACTGAGTTTCGGTCGATTTTTGATAGTTCAAATAATTATACTTTTTTGAGCGATTCATATCGTACTATTTTTTTTTTGTTAGTCCAAAGGGTCAATTAAAAAATCCTACGGGTTTTTACTTGAACATTAAATTTAAAAATTTGAGAATTTTTTAAATCCAAAGTAGTCATTTTTTGCGAATTTTTCCAATAAAATTTCTTTGTAGCATTGTAATTAATTAAAAATAAAATATTATTTATTTGATTCATATTTATCTGCCATTGTATGATTTCGGGGTATAAATTTTACACGTTTTGAGCTAAGAAATACGTATTCAGTCCAGAGATATAGCGTAACAAAGTTGCAGAGATTCACAGACCCTGGTGTGGCCGGGACATAACTAAAAATAAGTCCGGCTTTCTAGAATTAATAATGCTGGAGGACATTAAAATCTACACACGCACACACATATATATACATTAATATATAGTTGATATCGAAATGAATTATACTTTTGATATCAATTATATACTTTTTTTGTATATAGAACCATATAAAAATAATTATTATTACAAATATTACAAACGTTATAGCAGTATAAAAATGGAGTTTCTAATCTAATTATTTTGCAATTATAGTCACAAGTACTAAACACTTTTCTCTTAGTGTATAGTTTCCAAAGCCCATTAAAATTTTTCGATGGGACCGGCGCGGCGATAGTTTCGTGAAATATAAAATTTCAAAGTTTGAATAAATTCTACCGGGAAACAATTTTCCATAAGAGGTGCGCAGAGTCTTTTCTTATTAAGCATTAAAATAAAATTCATAATAATTAATATAATATTACTAACTTTATCTTGAGCATAATATATTTGTCTGGAATCAGTCCCTCTCTGCCAGCTAGAGCGCCTCGCCACCAATCATTGCTGACCTGCGTGTATAGCGTCAAGGTGTCACCCTTCTTGAAGCTCAGCTCTCTCTCTGATCTTGCATTGAAGTCAAACTGCGCCGTAGCTTCGAGATTCTCTGATTCTAATAGATAGAAAATAGAATATATTACACTTTACACAAAATATTTTTAATTTAACGATATCTTACATCTTCGAAAAAAATTGCATTACCATCTTCGGATGGGTAAACTTCCGAGTCCATGTCTTCCTGTACTTGATCCGTTGGTGAATCTCCCACATCCCTAAATTACGAATTATGTCAATAATAAAAAAATTTTTTAAATACAAGAAATACCTAAAATTGATAAAAAGTTGCGACATTTTTTACAATTAGATTCATTTACAATGTTTATATTATACATATATGTTAAGTGTTAATTGTCTTAACACAATATTCGATAAATAGATCAACTTATTTGTACTTACACGTCGTCGGGCTCTCTGCTGATGTATTTTTCATACTGAGTGCCCCCGATGTCCTCCGGGAAGATTTCCTCGCAAAATGTGATGATGTTCTTGATAAGCTCGTTGACCTGATTCTGATATTGGACCTGATCCTTGTCTTCCGGAACGGGCACCAAGGTTGGGCCAAAGCAGATAGCCAAGTTGTACGGATCCATCATGTTCTCGTCCGAGAATTCCGACAGGCTGTTTAAACATAGACCAGGCAATTTTAAATCTAGCACAACTTTACACGTGAATTTTTCACAAAGCGATAATACTCACTGGTTGAGAAAGGCAAAAAGATATCGCATGACGATTACAACTGGCCGTGGCAGACTCGCTATCATCTCCTTCATTTTGTTAACAAAGTCCTGTTTCGATTCGAGTTGCGCCAACTCCATCAGATGCTCAAAATAGATGATAGGAAAGAGGGGCTCGCGCAACTCCCTCAGATAGAGCTTTAACACCCCGGCGACACTATTGATGTCCGAAGCATCAGTAACATCCGCAAGTGGATCCTCGCCACGCTCGAACCATTCGCGGAAATTGTTGATCTCTACCTGCGAGCCCGACACACGGAAGATACCCTGATGGTGCAAGCCATATAGATTAATCACGCGGATGCAACTCTTCATGATCAGCGGTATCTCCTGATTCGTGCTCTCCAGATACTCCTCGAGCGAACCGCCAAACAGCTTCGGTTGACCGTTCATCTGCAGACGACCGATTCGTTTGCGGCGTGCTTGCTTCTGCTTTGTCGTGGAAATCGACGGGTTCGGGCTAGCATTTGAGCCATCCAGCAGGCTCTGTCGAATATATTCCTGTTTCGCGTCTAACCTGGCTATTCTCGATGTCCCAAGAAGATACTCCCTAAATTTCTACATCAACATGAAGGATAACATGATTTTTGTGAATCGCATTTTTTCTGTCATGTCGAAGACGATTCTTGTAACTGGCAGAATTTACCAGAATGTTTATTGTATCAGTTACTTTATGTTGCATAACATGAGCGATTGTCGTTCTGAATGCACCCAATTTATCATTTTATATTTATTATATTATTATACTACACAAAATGTTAAAGCGTCACTTAAAATTAACGCTAAAAAAACCAAATTCAAAGTTACGTATTTTCGCGAAAAATTATTGTAGAGCAATGTTTAAAAACGCGTTAAAAAAAAAGAAAAAGATGTGTAACTTTGAATTTTTGTTCTTTCCTAGTTCTAATTTTAAGTAGTGTTTTAATTTTGTTGAATAGTATATTATGCATTATTATATTTTTGTATGTTAATGTTTTTTTTAAAGCAGAATGTAAAGTCTAATTCTGCATGCCAATAATTCTGTCAGTCTTTATATATATAGTGTCTACAGATAAAAGAAATTGAATAATAATATCATACGCGCGTTCAATGGTTTAATTTCTTTTTTGAAAATTCTATAATATAGATGAAAAACCGCATTTTTATTTCGAAAGATAATTTCTATTTGTCCTATCGCGTTTCCTTTATCTTTCGAATGTTAATGCGATGTTCAATATTTTGACCGCACACGATCGTGCGTCTTCCTAAACTCACCGTGAGGTAGAATTCTTCAGTCTCTTGTCTGTCAGCTCGTAACTTGATTTGCAGCGTCTCCGGCGGCCTGGACGTAGATACGGCGTTCTCGCCGAAATATCTCGAGCAATCATAATCTTTAGCGGTCAACATTTCAAGCAGGCTCGCTTCCGCCGTCTCCAAAGTCTTCCACACTTCCTCTGACTCAGTTCGCAACGACGTCACCCTCTGTTGTAGTTGCTGCAGTCGTTGCTCCATTTCAGAGTGCAGCATCTTTTGTAATTCGGGTTCGGGCGTCTATCGGGAAGAAACAGATTGATGAATCGCAACCGACAATGGCTATGAAAAAATTTCGAAAAATCAGAATATTTTCCATAATTTTTAAAATTCATTCTCTTTCTCGTGCTTTCGTAATTGTATTATTAACTATTATATCATTAAAATTAGGAATGCATCGAATCGTAAAATTACCGGATATCGGTTATCGGATATCCGAGAAGTACGTGACACCGAATATCCTATATCCAGTCGAACATCCGGTAGGGCAATTATCCGGCCGAATTTTGGATATTTTCTCGGATATCTGATACAAATTCCCCAAAATTAAAAAAAAAGCAGGGAAAAATAAAAGCGGTAATAATTTATCCAAGGTCGAGTGAGTGTTCAACCCCTTGGATAGTATGAAATGTCACATCCTCCGTCAGCAAATCTCGGAACACTTAAAAAGTGTAAACTATGAATAACTATATTAAGGAATACATTTGCATACATCACGTACTATCAATCACTGTTCGTACACTTTGATGAATTCAAATCATATTTCACAAACTCGGGATATCATGTCATCAGTCTTTCTAAAACCTGGCTAAAACCGGCTATTTCCAGCCACATGATCTCTCTAGGGGGCTATTATCTGTTCCGTTATAACCGGATCGGCGTAGACGGGCGGCGATATTACATAATGCGCTCTTCGCTGTAAATTTGTTATTCTAATCCTATTTTTAACTATATGTGTATTTGTAATTCATTACCACTTACTCTGTTTATTCCTTATTTTTGTATGTCGAATCTTGTGCGACAAAAATTTTTTATATATACAATTTACATTCTCTCTCTCTCTCTCTCTCTCTCTCTCTCCTCTCACTCTCACTCACTCATATTCACACTCTTTTGTCCATATTCATGGTCGGATCTTATATTTAAGGCTTCCTTAAATTTATCTTTAGATGCTCAGTAGCCAATAAAATAATTCGTAAAGCGTCTGAAGATAAGAAAGCCTTAAATATATAAGGCATGACTATAAATACAGGCATTTGTACACTATCGGTTTGCTTTTTCTTTTATCACATATTACTTATTGTAATAATTTTTTGTAGAAGTTTAAGCGCTTGAGAGGACTTTGTCCAAGAGCACTAAATAAATATTGATTTCTCCCCCCCCCCCTCTCTCTCTCTCTCTCTTTCCGTCTGTCTCATTCTTTTTCATACCTCATCTCCACGCTGTCCTTGGAATTCAAACTTTTTGGGAATCATGAAGGCCGCGTGATGAGATTCCATAAATCTCTGCTTATCCGCTCGAGAGTCGAGTGCGCCGACAAACGCAGCTAATTGTTCGGCGCCAGATTGCAGGGAACGCTGCCTACCCTCTTCCGCGCTACAGTGCATCAACAGTGCCCTTGCTATGCAATTGTGGAATCCAAAATCCATGCACTAAGGGTGAAAACAAATACATATTTAATCTTTATTTATCTCTTAATCCAACATAAATTACATTAATGATTAAAAGTAGAAGTTCTTTTTGAGTTTAGGATTTCAGTCTCAATAGAGGCCCAGTATCAAGAAACGTAGAAGTTAGACAATAAATTGAATCTAACTTCTTCAAAGTTTTTAGATCTTCTTTATGATCATTTTTACGTTTTGCTATTTTATCTTTCCCAGTTATTTTTGTATTTTCTATTAGATAAATCACTGGATAATGATTTGTTAAATGACAGAGTATAATTCAGTCCGAACGATTTATATATCGTCACGTTATTTCATGTGTCAATACAATAAGATTTTTCAAGCCTGTTGATTGACTGTAGGACAGAGAGATCCGAGAACCTCTTTGTCCTACAGCCAATCAATAGGCTCGAAAAGCTTGTCGTACAGCAAAAAACAGATGAACGTGATATTAGTCTTACGATGTGACGAGTGTATATTAGTGCACCGATTATAGAGATTGATGAAAACGTGGCCATTGGTCGCGGGATCAATAGAGTGCACGTGCGAACCCGAGCATGGATGAATAACTTACGTCAATGAGATCGGACAAGTCATCGACGAAATACTTGTGTATCGTCGTGTTTGAAGCCTCCAGGCATAGGATGTACTCGTTTCTCGCTTTGAGCGCCTTTAGTTTCGCCTCCTGATACTTGCTCTTCCTCTGAAAAGGAAATATTTCGAATTAAAGATGATAATGTGTCTTACTGTGGAGAGCGACTGTGGAGAAACTAAGGCAAGCCTAATTAATTTCATTAATCGACGGCGCCGACTAGCGTATTAATTGACTCCGCTTATTCCTCGGAATAAACTTTCTTGTCTCGCTTTTCTCCCCAAGGATTGTTCACGTTATCGCTGCTCATATTATTACAATTAAGATCTTCGTTCTGCCAATAAATAATATCACTCAAGTAGCTTTCATGCGTCTTGTGCTTTCAATGGTACTTCATCCAAGTTTATTTTTCTTAGACTTGAACTTAATAGCTTGCACAGCTTTCGTAATTTATACGACTGTTTAACCCAATCGAATATATACCTACGCTGAATACTTTTACTCTCATGGAAATGTTTCTCATTCTTCTTATTTTAAATATTACATTCATGTTTTTAGCATTATGTTATACCGTGATTTAGCAGCGCCAAGTGTTTACTTCTTTAACTTTTTGTGATAACACTTGAATGGACAACGTAATTATAGATTGTATTCTTTATTTTATTTAACTTGGCACCAATTGTTGATATCAAATCTTTTATACGAATGATACACATCGTTAGAGTTAATATTATTTATTTAATTCGGTGATGGGATTTAACTTGGCGTCAATTGTTGATATCAAATCTTTTTTATGAATGATACATATCATTAGAGTTAAATAAATAACAAAGACAGTATCACTTGGGTTTTATTGTTTAATTTGATAGAATTTAACTTAGTTAGTTAAGATTGTAGCGTTTGGGTTTTAATTTTTCATTTGGTACATTAGAATTTAAATTTTTTTCGAGGAATAATAATTTTTAACAGAGAATTAAAGCTGCCATTACTTGGGTTGCAATAAGAAGATCTTCAATAAGAATAAAGAATATCCGTGAAGAAAAATTAAAACTACTATTAATTGGGTTGGACACTTAGGTTTTATTCGTCGTCATTAACCAGAGACGATCGCCCGCTCCGTTCGTCGTGCACATTTTCGCATCCTTCATTGAAAAATCGTACCCATCTCCGTACCATTGAATCACTCATCGCATGTTCTCCATACATTTCGCAAATTTGACGGTGAATTTCAGCTGCATTAATGTTCCTCGCATTTAAGAAATGGATCATATACCGTATTTCACTGCAAGCGGCGGGCGTCGCGATTTGTGTTTAAACATTACAAACACACATTACAATCCGTATGCACTGAACCAATAATTGAAAATTGCGTCAATTCCTTGCCAACGAATCAATAAACTCGGCATGCATGCGTACCATCGCGACCGCACCACCGCGACGGCAAAATTTAAAAACGGAACTTACTTTCTGGATAGCCTTCGTAATAAGCTAGCAGAGAGAGTCACAGTTTGCTTGGAAATAACAAATAATATAAAATTGTTTTTGCTAATGCAAATTAGTACAAATTCAATCATATTGATATCTGTTATTATTTTTCTTTTTTCTTTTTTAATTGATTCTGCAAACTTAATATTAAGCTAGCAGCGCCACGATTTTTTTCGAAAGGGTACACAGTACAAAATCATCATTAATGGTACAATTTAGTACAAAATATGCAAGTACTAAATATTCCGATAGTTCCGATTTGATTTGGATCTCTGTTAGCTTTATAGAGCTTTTTTGGGGCATAAGTTATTTTAGAAATCCTCCTAATAAATATAAAACTAATAGGATTTGAAGTAATCAATGCTATTGTCACACTCTTCGTCAGCGACAGCTAAATGTATATTTTAATTACCTTTACTGTTCAGTGGTACAAACTGGTCAACTCTTGTCAGCTTGAGTTGTAGGATAGTTATAACAATTAAGAGTTTGTATAATTTGCTGAGATATTTGACTCCTTTTTCTAAAGTCTAATTTGGAACTTATAATAGAAAGTTGAACTTATGAGCATCTACGGAAAAGGCTATACCATTCAAATGCCCGTACTAAAACTAAAACTATCGATCGTACAAGATAAAAGTCAATTGCGGACTAATTATTCGCTCCTTATAATACTAAAGTGGCAACAATTCCCTTGCGCGGGATTCTCCATGCATAACTTTTTATTCAGGAATATCTTTAAAAAATGGTAGAAGAAAATTTTTGCCCATGCGAAATCGAATCTAAAATCAATATATTATGATGTCGGCTCGCGGCGGCACCATTTGACAAAATATAAGTCGTTGTTACATGATTTTAATCGCTTGAGGCTTCCTCTGACTCTTGCTTTTGAAATAATTTAATCGTTAATTTAGAGAAAATTAATTTAAAAAGAAGCATCGTAATCATGTTAGACAAAGACAGGATTTAAATTTAAAAAAAAATCAAATTCTAAAAATTTCCTTCAGTCGTAACTATAAAATTTCATGAAAATCCCTCATTTTCAAAGATAAAAAAGAAACTCTCTGAAATATTTAAATTTTTTTAGGTTTCTTAGATATTACGTAAATTTAATAAACAAGATTTATACTCTTTTAAAATGCAAGTGGTGACGATCGAGTTCAACGACTATGCCAACGAGGAGTCAATGTTACACGTGTTGTTGGTTTCTTTCTTTCTTGCTCTCTTTTTTGTCTCCTAGCCCCGCGCTTGGTCTCCTACACTTCTCTCACGTCTCTCAAGTATCCCTTTCGCATCGCATCAAGACCGCTTTGTCTTATCGCACTTATGTATAACTGCTCGAGGGGGACTGCTATTTATTTTTCCATCGAGTTATATGCGCTCGACAAAAAAGCCCACTGACAAGACGATCCTAAATTCTCGGTCGGCGTTTGCTCAAATTGGAAAGAGATAGGGAAAAAAAGAAAAAAACACGAAGAGAGAGATACAGATTTCCTATGTCTCATTTCCTATGTCACAGATTTCAGATGTCTCTCTTTCGATTCACTCCGCAAATGATTTCGGGTGTAAGAAAGCTGTAGAAATGCTTTGTATCCCCAGGGATCTTTAACACATGCGAAGAAAACGGTGAAACATATGGCCCCGTAAAATATGCGTAGACACAAACGCATTTATCACGGAGCAGAAATATGGACGGACAAATGCCTTCCTAACATTTTTACTCAAATCTTTCGACGTATAAATACGCTTGCCTGCTAAAAAAAAAAAGATTAACAATGAGTCAGAATGTTTATTTAAATCTTACTTAAAAAATTCACTGCAGAAACAAAATTCTCCAGATTTTCCAGGTATCTTTATATCCCAGGGGCGCTATTCTGTAACTGTTTTACACACCTATATCGACATTTGTTGGTGTCGTTGTGCAGATATTTTATATGGTGAAAAAGCTGCGCAACAATACCGACAACTCTCGGTAGTCGTGTAAAACAGTTACAGAATATAGGCCCAGGTAAAAATATAGAAAAATTCTTAATGCAATTTTTAAATAAATTGAAATAAAAGCAACACGATAAATTATTATACACAAAGTTAATAGAAGACATAAGACTACATCTATTCTTTTCTACAATTGGAACAGCGAAATCTATAAAATAGTAAAGAGAAGGTTTGCTTTAGTATAATGTTAAATGAGCTATTCTCTTCTACCGTGTGTATTGTCTTCTATGATTATCTTGAGCTTTTTAATAAAAATTTGTAAACACGAGAATGTACGTGAATGTACACGGATGTGTGTACTTATTGCTAACTAATTATCAATATTTTGCATTGTTAAGAAAAATAATCGAAGAATAAATAAATTTTTATTTAGAAAAAAAATAATTTTTAAAAATACAATTTCAAAAATTTTCCTGAATATCAATAAAATGACTAACTTTGAAACATTGAACCTTCTCAGTCTCGCAAAGTATACTTGAAAGTTTTAATAAGAAAATTTTGTAATATGAAGAATCTCGAAGTTAAAAAAGTTTTGCGCAAACAATTTACAAGAAATTAATCAAGAATTAATCTCATAATTTCATACTTGCAGGAATTATTTTGGGAATATTACAAAGGACCCTGCACAAATCGTATGGACAAATGGTTTCAGTCGAATTGGCTAAATTTTTAATATGTGTAGTTCTCGTCATTTTTAACGTCTCAATGCACACAAGTTGATCCTATGAGCCGTTTCCATGTTATAGGCCTTAGAAGGTCCAATTATAACATGTAAAACTATAGGCTTTTCGACAGCATATATGACTCCCACGGTTCACTCTCGTGGAATTTAATGATTCCAAATCCTCTCTGGTGTGTGTGTGTGTGTGTGTGTACACTCGATACGCGTGCGCTGTGTATGTGTGTGATTATACATGTACATAGTAAAGATGATGAACTCGTTATCTTTACTATATTTTATTTTTTTATTTTATTATATTTTATATATTATTTTACGTATTATTTTTTATATCCATGTATAATTATACACATACACATGCACAGGCGCAGGAGTGAACCGTGGAGCCACAAATACTGTCGAAAAAGCTATACTTTTACATATTATAATACAGGACCTTCTAGGGCCTATAACATATAGCACGGAATCGGCTCATCGAGTTAAGCTATGCTCATTGAAACTTGCTTCGTTCAAAATGACAAGAAATATTGCATGTCAACAATTCAGCCAATTTGACTGAAACCATATAATTTGTACGGAATTCTTTATTAATTCGAATGGATAACGCGCGAAAAATTTTCGAAAATTTTTCTTTTTTGTCTTTTCATTCTAATACGACCATTATTTGCACGCCATTCTTGTTACACAAATTCGAATTGCGATTCTAAAAACGAGTTTTCAAAGAACCGAAAGAACAAAAATATAGCGCTCAAGATTCGAGGTGGTTATTCGTTCAATTCCACGAACGAGATAGTCGGTGGACAAAAAGCGGAACAATTGTTGAGACTGATGATGACGCAGATGCCTAATTCGGACATCCTGCGGCTGGCCTGGATATCGTCTATCCAACGACGCGACGTATTGCGACGTATTCGTTCGCGTTTCAATCTTCCGCCTAAATGTTTCCGTCGATCCACACTTTAAGTATCGAGTGTTTCGTACAACAGATATTTCTGTTTGACGATACGTATGAAACAGCATCGGCGAGAATCAAATATTTATATTGACGCGAAAAGCGCAGTGATAATATTATAATAATTCTTATATCACTGTTGACAAAAAAATAATCATTTAAAAATTCTCACAAATTACGGATTTTCTGCTGGAAACGACGAATTGTCGAAATTAAATAAGATTCATTCATTGGAAAGTATAAATATCTTGATTAGCAATGTTCTTTAACTATGTCTACAGACTAACAATGTGTCTTCAACAATGTCTGCAGCAAAATTATTAATTCTAACTTTCCGGAAGAGCTATCCCGGGGCATATTTACGAATCATCATACAATGGCAAGCATGTATCGAAGCATACTTCCCGTTGTGACTTGGCGAACAGTTGGTAATGACAGGCGTAATGACTGATAACGATAAAGACGCACGTCGAATCCGCATCGATATATTCATCGTTGTTATGAAAAGTGTTCGCCGGCAATCGTCGTGATAAATCGTTGCGTCTTTGGCATAAAATCACCGTTAAATCTTTCATCAGAATCAACAACCGTTTCGCTGCATCAGATGCCAGTCTTACCAGATGATTGGCGAAGGAAGTAAGAGGAAAAGTAGCGCGCGGCAAGATGATCGTCAACAAATAATTTCTCGATCGACTGCGTCTCATAACACGTTGCTGCGGTCGTCATATCTCGGTGCCAAAATCTAAAGAACGCAGGCAAAATCGCAATATGCCAGATTTATCCACGGCCAGTGGATACGCTGGCTCCCGGAAGAGGCTGGATAAATCGCGTACGATCGAGGGCAATATCTACACGTCACCACGACCGTATGAAAAATACGTGCATGTTGAATTAAAAAATGTAAATATTTTCATTATTTTAAATACCACTTGCGTGAAATTTTTATTTAGAATTGTTGGATTGTGTTGGTCAAATTTTGTTGAGCTCATGATTGAGGAGCTCAAATATACTCGGATTTTACTCCTCTTGACAGTTTTAATAAAACTCGCTACGAATGTGAGATATATATTATTAAGCGGCCCTTTATTTTTCAACTCACGTTTAGTCTGCTCTATCTGCCCACGGGAAATTATGCGGTCATTGTCGGACACTCTCTGTAGATACATATGTCCATTAACTTCAAAATTATAAATGAGACATTACAAAAACCGATTGTGTCAACTCTGAATGATCTGAAGCAGAAATTCCAAGAGATCTTCATTCATGAATAATTGAGAGGAAAGTATAAATCACAGATTTCCTAAAATTTCAAAAATTAATATTTTTTGCTCCGTTAATTCTCTGTAATCATATTTTTGCTCCCTCCATCTGCAATTTGAATATTTTTTTATCTAGATCAAGTTTTTAAAGATTTTCAAAAATGTTGAAAAATTCAGGATTATTTTTCCATATTTCTATTTTACATTACTAAATGGATATTACAAGATCGTTACAAAATATTACAAGATATTTTAGAAGAGGGATTTCATTCTCCTTTATTTCGGAAAAATTTGAGTGTATGTCTTATGCTAAAGAAACCCAGACTACAGACAGAGGATTAAAAATTTCTTTGCGTAAAATCGATAATTTTTTACTTCAAACTGATGTATTGTAATTTTAAAATTAATGAACATACTATATCAAATTTGACCTCTGTCAAGCTAGCAAGACCAAATGAGCAGAATCGAAAAAAACTTTTTCAACTATTTAGTGCTTATTTTGTGTGCTATAATTTGTACTTCAAAGAACAATTTTGTACTACATGCCATTTAGAAGAAATGCGTGACGCTGCTAGCTTAACATCAAACTAGGAGGACTATAAGAAAAAAAAGGGAGGGGGGGGGGGGGGGGGAGTAAAAGATATAAATCGCATCGATTTTGTGCTAATTTGTGCTACAAAAAATAACTTTGCAGATTTAAAAAAAATACATTTATCCTGCAGATAAAATAAAATACAAGAAAGAACTTAAAATGCTATGTACAATTTTCCTTCACCGCGCAAGATTCAATTTGTTAAGACAGTTCGACGCAAATGGTTGGAGCGACTAGATAGAAGAACTTAAACCGCTTCCATTTTCGCGAAGATTAAGCGTCGATATGAGTATTATACTCTTACTGAAAAACGAGCTCTACGAGCTTCTATTTTATACAAACCTACCTTGTTAACTTCCTTCTCGATGAGCTTGTATTTCTTGCTGCGTGCAAGTTTCTCACGACTGTCCGCGTTCGCCACCTCGAGTTTGTTGCGTTGTTGCTCAGCGACGCGGAGCTTCGTCTCCGCCTGTCTGGACTCAGCCTGATAGGCTTGGTAAGTCTTCATTGTCGTGTGTAGCTCGTGCAATACTCGAAGTATCTCCTCGTGCGTCTCATAGCCGATCTCGCGACACTGCGGTAACAGATATCAAAAAGATGTAATTGTGATTAAAAACATACAGAGTGTATGATCTCTTCACAACATGAATTTAATTGGAATTAAATGCAACATTTCTTTTTTCGAAAGAATTTACGATTGTACAAAAACATGTGTAAATAAATTTACGAGACATAGAGAGTGATTCTTAAGTATTTTAAAGATATAAATAAAGAAGACTATATTCGGTCAAAGCGAATTTTGATGTGCCTGATAACATTTTTGTGTGAATTTTTACAATTCCTAGTTTAAGCACACTACAGGCCACGCATAAAATAAATAATTAATCGGCGTTTGCTTGCTTGAACTGGAAACCGTAAAAATTCACACAAAAATATTATCAAGCACCAAGACTTACTTTAACTGAATATGAATACACAGGCCTTGTTTTGATTTATTTGTATTAAACATTTCTTTCTGATCAATTTTCACTTATTAATGTTTATTCTGCAAGATTGTAAGAGATGATTTCACACATATAATTACATAAACACATATATTAATATTTACACCTTAAACAAATTATATACACGTGAAAAAGTTGTGCTTACAACATTCTGTTTTTATTAAGCAACATTTTTATCGATTATTTATTTTATCTGTTATTATTTTCACTGTTATAAACAAAAATTTTTTAAATAATAATAAATCTAAATTTTTTTTGTATTATATAAGTACTTTAAGTGCGAGAACTCCCGTGCAATGAAAAAATCTAGGTTAGAAGTTTCATTTCTCCACTCCGCGACATTCCTATAAGTACTTTAAGTGTTAAAAATAACTTGTGCAAAAAAAGTTTCATTGAGATTCGCCAATTAGTTTATAACAAATAAATATTTCGTTTACTTACTGGACAACTAATGTCTGCAATATCTCAATGTGACTTTACATAAATATTTCTGAATTCATAAAGTACGTATATTAAAAAATTGAGATGCTTATCATTATTTTACAATACATTTCCATATATTACTATTAGAGTGTAAATTAAAAAAACATTACTTTTTATTGAAATAACTTTTAATCCAGATGGTAAACTGTCTTTAATTTTTTTGTATTACTTTTAAATACAATTTAGAATAATCTGTAATTTTTTCAAGTAATTCTTAGCATATTGCCTTTACCTTACACAAGCTCGTTAATGTTATAACAGTGTTTACAGTACTATCTACATATGCCTGCCCGAACAGCTACTGAATAGCGCTGACAGTGAGCTCCTTAAACACACCTATAACCATATGAAAATCTTGAATTAATGTAAGCCGTAAGGAATCACCTCTTAAATCTTTTAGAATACTTAAGGATTACTTTATGTAAGAAGAGTGCAGTAAAAAAAGGTTTGAGAATATAATTGCAAAAGTAAAAATGAATATGCGTATAATTGTAAGAGAACGTGAGAGGCAACGTCGAGAATTTCGTCATAATAGAATTAGCATTCGTTTTTGTTTCTAGCACCCGGCATATCGATGCCATCGAGTTGTAACGAAAGGTCGCGATGTGGATGGTCCGACGCGGCTACGGCGGAATGGAGACATTTGAAGTAATTAATTCGACGAGACAATAGAGCAATCGAACTTCTCAAAGTTAGGCGCGCGGTGATGCAATTGCGCGATCCCGACTTAAATCAGCTACTGATACGGGCGGCGGCATCGTGTACCGCGTGGCGTATGACACTCACACGCTTGTAAATTCGCTGCACGTCCTCCATCACCTGATTGAGACGGCCCACGAGGTGGGTGCTGTAGACCTCAGACAGGGCGGCATGGTCCCTGCTGAGGGACTTGGTCTCGTTTACGAGCTGCTGCCAGCAGGCGTAGCTGGAGAATAGGGGCCATTGTTCCCGCCTGCAGAAAACGATAGATAAGAGGCGATATGGAATCGACGGCGGACGTACATGTTCTGCACGCGTGTATATCGACGTAATTACATTGGCAATTAAATTGACTGCGCTAACGAGCCGATAAACCGTCGCGTTCGCGTTGTCTTGCGAATGACTATATCGTTCCGTCCTTACATTTTCAATGTTTGCATACGTAATAGCGATCGTTCCACTTGCTCGTTCATGCAGCTCAAATGCGCTATATACAGTGCACACACGCACCCACGCACCCACGCACGCACACATATCCTTAGATTGAAGATATTTAAAATAATATTTATATTAAATAAGCAAATTGCCTAAAATCACCCTACTTTATAAATCTAAGATTATTTTGACATTATATGTATAATCTCTGGTCACATTATTAGACACATTATATTTTTTTAATCATTAATTGATTTTTAAAGAACATATTTGTCTTGTGTTATAAATCTATTTATCAGTGTTGTACTTAATCGATTGAGATCTAAAGAAAATAGTCGTAAAGGAAAAGTTGTATATAAAATGAATGCATTTTAACTTACAACATTCATGAAAACATATAAATCTGTACATATAAACAACTGTAGAAACGATACTAAGGAAAGCGCACATTATTTATTCTGTTTCTATTATAGAAATTTTGTTTTGTTTGTTATCTGTCATAGTAAACTTCAATTTACACATTGCATAACATTAGTATAAAAATTGGACATAAAATATTAAAAAGATTTCGTCGGAGCGTAGTCAAATTTGCGCGAGTCGCATTTTCGAGGTTGAATAACTTCTTAATTACCGATCCGATCGTTTCTTACCATAACAATTTCTTGTAGAATTCTTAGAGTACTATCTAGAACTGTCGTCAAAACTACTACAGCTCTAAAAAAAACATAAGTGTATGTTATATTTACTAAGAATATTGAAATAATAAGTTAATAGCATTAATATTTAGTTATATAGTTGTATAATAATTTCAAATAAAATCGAACAATTATTTTATACTCCATTTTCAATTTAGCGATTTTTATCTTCCTGTTTTATCCAAATTGATATTCTAACAATAAGTAAAGCAAAAAGCTTTAAAATACAAGAAAAACGCCTAAATATTACAATTTATTAATTTTTATATGTATATATCAATTTAATTATTTAATAAAAAATACTATAAACTAACGGCATGCAAAAATTAAATAAAACTTTTAAAAAGCATGAATATTATTATAAATTGTAATGATGAAATCTGTAATTAACAAACTATAGTCCCGATTTACGCGAAATTCAAGTAAATTAAGTCCCAACGAAATAATTTTTTAAAGTTCCAGTAATTCTCTCTCTCTCTCTCTCTCTCTCTCTCTCTGATGATAGTTCTAGATAATACTCTAAGAGCACTGCAAGAAACTATAATAAATATAGAAAACGATCCGGTTAATAATTAAGAAATTATTTGACGTCAAAGATTTACCACTGCTAATGATTTTTTGTAACTCTGAATGGCGATTTTTTAAATAATTATAGAAATTTGATATTTGTTATTTACCGGGCACTTTAGAATTCATCGAAAGAAATCAGATATTCTATTCATTCAGGTTTGATATTAATTTTTTAACAATTTTATTTTTTTAAAGAAGTAAATAATTTTTTTATATCAGAAATTCTAGTATTTGTTAAGAGGCATCAAGCTATTCGGTGCTAATGTTGGGTGTGAAGTTAGAACGCCCATTTTTCGCAGTCTATTTTTATTGTTTTAATCAACGGAATTCTCTCCAAAAATTATTTTAGAGAAACTCTTTTTTTTTTGTTCTAAATAATCTAGAATTCTTAAAAGAACTACGATTTTGAAACCTAAAGGTGTCAATTTCATACACCCATTTCAAAGCTGAAAAAGATTTTGGGCGTGATTTGTAGAATTGGATATGTGAAGTTTTCCAGAAAATAAGTTTGAATGTTTTTAATCATTAAAATTTTGTAATATATTGTGTTGTAGGGATCAGCGGGAAAATTAACGGAGCCTATTGAGATTTGAAGAACTCGTCGAGATCTCTCGTTTTCTCAAACCTAGCACTCAGTGTGCTACGCCAACGATACTCCACTGACTCTTGTCATACTTATTCCGGTCGCCTATGTATATTTTTAAATAGCCGGTTTTCTTTATTTTCCTACACTTTTAATTTTGAAATGCATTTTTGGTGTAATATAACTGACTTTGGAAGAAATAAAAAATATTGTTTTAAAAGTATGTTTTCATTCTTTTTCTGCAAGCAATTAAAAAATTGCAATTTTTTTTAGTTGCGTCGTTATTGCAACAAATGAACGATATGTATCATTTTGTTTTACAAAAATAAATAAATATTTGATGTAGAATAAAATCGTGTTTTTATATGTAATTGAGAATGTCCAAACAAAAAAGAAAACCTTATTTTATGTATGTAAATACTAAATATAAATATAGCTGTCATTCTATTTTTATTTAAAAATAAAAATAGTTATCATTTCGACACAAGATGAATGTAACGAAAAATCTACGCATTTAATAATATGGCCAAAAATTGTGGAATAAATTATTTTGAAATTATTTTGACATTACAAACAGATTTCCTACATCTGTTTTGTAATATAACAGTATGCATAATTCTTTGATGTGTATATAGTAAGTTACACAAGCACATAGAAGATAATTTTATAAACATTTACGGACAATATTTTTAAAACTACAAGTAGGCCAGCTGAAAAGAGGTTATCCGGTTATCGACCATAAAACTTACTTTACGATAATTATATTTCTTGGGAAAGGGTAAACAAATATGACGACGTAATCCCGGATGCGCCTTCGCAACGGAGAGAACTATCGATTCGCAATATCTCCTGGAGCGAAATGAGGGAAATGTGCAAGTGGGAAACGAGAGTGTGTCGTCGTGGTTACGGATTACATTTTACCCGTGTATAACCATGTACAGCGCGAGAGGCATCCCTTTTGTGGACGTTGAATACGCTGCATAAAAGGGGCGCCCCGCGTTCAGGGTTGAATGACGAGAAGGAACTGGGGCATGTCGTAAATGCGGGAACGGTGCCAGCAGATGTGCACGCGCGTGTAGGACGCGAAAAAATGAGAAGCCATCTACTTTTCCGTCGTCCATCCGTCTGTCTGTCCGTCGCAAAAGTGGAACGCGGAAAATATCAATTGCACAGTATACAAGAAATATAAATCGTCATGAGAGAGATACGCGCAGAGGAATTCATAAATCTCTATTAAAACCATACGCTCTCTTATTCATTAATTAATACTTTTCTGATACTATAACGTAACAATGAAATGCAGCCTTGACCACAAGTATCAAACATCCCCACAAATTGACTTACATGGTTTATATTTAACATACAAAAAATTTTTTTAACAGTTTTAGCGAAAAAAATATTTATTTCTACAAACATGTTAATTTTAATAGTTTTAATTTGATTTAGTTTTATTACCATTTTTTTCCCCCCAAGAAGATGCAATAAATTGAAGGCACTTAATATTTACGACCAAGCCTGTGGCTTTAAACTCTTCGTCATATCGACGATTTTATATGCGATTTTATATGCTACAAGAATCTTCTCCAAATTAAATAAGAACCCGTAATTAGAGTTTAATTTTCTTACAATGATATAGTGTTTAAGGAAAAATATTTGCGATACATAAAATTGTTTTCATATTATGGAATGTCTCTCCAAACAAGACAGCACAAAGGACAAAATCCAATACAATCATATATTGAAAAAAGTCATACTTTAATTATCTGTATTTATACAAGGATGCGTTATACATAAAAATTAGTTGATTATAATTTTTAACAGCATTAAATGAAACGCAGTTTATGTATCACACGTTTATTTTATCGGCGTCATTATAATGTCATAATCCGATATAAATTATATTGATTGAAATAATAGTCTGTACCTTTAATAATTATGCAAGAGGATGCGTTATAACTTTTAACAGCGTTAAGTAAGACGCAGTCTACGTGCAGTATCACACGTATATTTTACTAAATACTAATGACACTACTTCACTCTTTATGTTCAACTGCCCCGCGACTCTTTAAGTTTATCGAATCTGTTTAGACCTGTTCGCTAATTGTATGTGCTATACACTGGTGCCACAGTGCTCGGTATTATGGCCACCTTAAGTCTTGTTTCCGAAAGTGACAATCCTTAAAGTCAGTGATCATATATACGAGTATGGGGTGCGTTTCTGTTTTCACGCTCACACGCTGTAAACTTTCATCACTTCATTCTTGCTTTCTATCAAGCATTAAACAAAGACAAATGATGCTTACGAGCGCTGTGAGCCAAAAACGCGGAACGCACTGAAACTGCACCGCGCCGGGTGGACAGCGAGCGGGTAGCGAATCGCACGCGTATACAAGGACTGCGCACGCAGCTGCTAAAGAATGAACGCCGTATCGCGAACGTAAATCACAGTCCATTTCTTATATAATAGCGAAATCAGTCGCACTAATGCATATTAAAGCTGTTGTACACTTAATAATAAATATTTTTAATTATACGTATATAACTATTACACTTTATCCGAGGGACGTTCTGGGGATATCCTCTGGATATAACCAAGGGATGTTTGTAGGATATCCTACAGACTATTCGTCCTAGTGCTGCTATTTAGTTTTAAAAATAATATGGATTTCTATCTTCCGCAAACATTAATGAATACAATATTAACTCTTAAGAAGAAGAAATACAATTTCTCGGAATTAAGTATACAATAAAATGTTTGAGATCATTGTTGATTTTAGTGTAGGAACAGTTTTGCAATAGGTATACATAAGGTATCTAGATCGATCTCCGCGCCAATTTATCATACATTTCATGACTGTAAATGTATAATCATACATGATCAAGATTTATATCTCAAATATATAATCGCAAGCTCAATCAAAATTTACGTGATATAATCGCGAAACAATTCGCGTTGCGCAATGTGTAATGTAATTGCAAATGTAAGCGCAAATGTATCTAATGTTATACGCGTCGTCGTTTCATTGCATCGTGCAACACGTGGTACACGAGCCTGAATTACAATTAATTGACGCATGCGTAACATTAATTATTTAATGTTGTAATCTACAGTAGAATTATTTTTCCTTTTCGTCATTTTCCTTTATATCCAGTTAACAAACGTCTACGTTGTAATTTAGTTCTATCGCATTTTTAGTAAAAAAAAAAAGGGAGATATAAACTATTTAAAATTATTATTAATCATTTCAACTTTTCTCCTAAGCTGGTAATTTTCTTACAATAAAAATGTCAATTATAAATAATAATAGATTATTTTGACGCACTATAAATACAAATTTACGCATAATCTTACACATTTGCGCCGATGTTTCTAAGATGGTGAAATTGTATGTTTTAGCCGAATTTTTCTGTGACTTATGCATTCCTTCTCATCAAATGTTTTTTTTTATAATGAAAAATGTAAAAAAGTATACGTATAATAAAATATAGAATTGATAGACATGATATACTTATCGTACTTTTGTTTCTGCTCCTTATGCCTCAACTGTATGCTCCTAGCCATCTTGTCGAGAGACTTGCTGTAGTCTAGTTCCAGTTCCGCCCTTTTGCGAAAGAAATCCTGGAGCTCGACCACAAGGGCGACTTGTGCCTCCATTCTTACGTCGAGACATCTCAATTGCTCGTTCAGCTGTAACCGTATATCTGCAAGCAGAGAAAAAACAAAACCTCGTCAGTGCTCGTATATTCTGATCATGATCACGCTTTTCGGGTGTCTTGAGGTACACGCTCGAAGACCCTTAACATAATCCCCGGAAATTAATCGCCATCGAGCTTACGAGTCTTCTGGTAGATAAATTTTGGTCTTCTCAAAGTTAAAACTGATATCGGGCTGTTAATACTTCGAAGATCATAAATTTCCGGAGATTAAAAGGAAAGGACTTCCGCGCGAGTTTTTATAGTTTTCAGGATCGTTTTCGAAACCAATACCCACAAAAGAAATACTATTAAAGACGACCGGCACTGAGCAAATTTTCGTGTCTATCAATGGGGTTCGGAAGGGGGAGGGGAAGGTCCAGGGATAATTAAAGAACGATATTTTTTTTATCGACAATTAATAAAAATTTGAAATTATTAACATGAATATTTGGACGATACACATTATTAAATTCATAATTTTTTATTAAATGCTGCATAAATAAGTAAGCGTACTTTTAATGCAATAACAGGGAGTTTTTGCAATAACGTTTATCCAAATACGATGAACGCTAAGGTCAGGTTATATTCTTCTTAACAACTAAATAAGAAAAGGATAACGTGACTTTAACGTTCACCGTATATAAGGTCTAAGTAATTACTTAATGTAGTTAAGTCGCTATTATATTTCGTTATAAATTAATAATATACAAATATTATTGCTGTAACTATATTTTTATAGTGCTGAGAGTACCATAATAGTTGCTATTATTCTATAAAACTAATTACAGATATTATAATTTCAAATTATACCAAATTTATAGTTGCTACAATTATTCGTTCTCTCTCTCTCTACATATAGTGTAGTTCTACTAGTGAAAAAAAAACAAAATAATTATTTTCACGATATAGTTGCATGCAGAGCTCCTATTTGCAAGATTAAAAAATTATATAATTAGAATAAAAAATTACGTATAGTTAAATTATGGTTAAATTAAGGTAACAGCCATTTTTTAATCATATTGCAGGAATTCTTTCATTTCCATCTCGGCTCAAAGGATCAGTGGTATGGATGCAGACTTAATAAACATTATTAACGCTTATAGATGCTTAGAGAAATTAATATATAATTAAACCACTTTAAGATATAAATTTTGATCGAATTCTGTTTTCCGTTTTTTTAACTTTATCGTAGCAATACTCCACGTCAAAATCATTTTATTCCTGCATCGATAACAATGACAAAGAGGCGGACACTGCTCGGAATAATAATCGTCTTAGGAATGACGGGTGTCGTGAGGAAGGACTTCGATACGATCGCATCAGAGACTTCCGACACACACTCTCTCTCCCCCACAGTAATCCGTATTTCATTAATGTTATCCGCAAGACAATGACAAGAAAGAGGAACGACATCTCAGCTTCACAAGACAACTGCTAAAAATAAACGATCATATGTAACGCGAAACAATCTATCGTTCTGTATAGGCTTTGTCAGACTTTGCTAGAATGAGGAGAGAGGCCCCTTTTACACACCAAGCACTTGATACGCGTATTAACTATAAGTAACTTTTTATTAAATTATGTTAATTTCAGCAATGTATTTAAAAAAAAATGTACTAAAATGATACAATACGCATCAAAATAATTAAATACACATATCATATACATATGTGTTTATACGTATCACTGAAATTAAGATAATTCAATACAAAATTATTACCAGTATCAAATGCACGATGTAAACTAGATGAGAGTCTCATGTTCGCGTACCGCATGATTTATTGTCGCGACCGCGCGCATGCGCGTATCTCGTTTCCGTTCTGAAACTTCCTTTGCCTCCGATAATATAAATGACACGGAGTGATTACGGTCGAATACATTGTTCGCATAATCCATTATCGGTACGAGTAGAAGCAATTTTCTCTCTCTCTCTCTCTCTCTCTCTCTCTCTCTCTCTCTCTCTCTCTCTCTCTCTCTCCTCTTCTCCCTCAAGTTTTAGCATCTTCCTTGACTTATTTTGGGCTATAGGCCAGTATTCATAGTCGGTTCTTATTTTAAAATCTTCTTAAGTAATGTCTTAAGATACTAATACAAAATCAATCAACAAGCATGCTCCTAAGCACAAGGTGTTCTCCTTTTTAGAAATCTACCGGCACCATAGCTGACGTAAGAGATCTAGAGGCATGTGCATGAAAAGAACAGACTAGAAGAATATAGAGAAGAAATAGAAATAATGCCAGTTATAAATGTTGAAGCTTTGAAAAATATTGTAATCCTGCTACTATATGGAGTAGATTATGATACTTGGGACTGATTAAAGTAAAGGAGCCCATAGCAGATGCCTAGCATGTACGATGAAGGAACTCAATAAACTGCATCATTTGTAGGTGATGCAGTCATTCAAAAAGTTACCAATCAAATAAAAACGGAAAAATTTTCAAGAGATCCGAATTCAATGGCGTTTTTACTTATGCATGTATACGCTTTGCTTGACATACGCGAACGTAGCTCGCCACAACGATATATACTATTCAGATCTCATGATGAGAGCGCGGAGACTCGTATATATGCGAGTACACTCGTACACGATCGTAATTTTTTCACAATTTCATGCATACGCACATCGCACGTGATAAGTGAAAGGGCGAACATTCAACAGCACCGTCAAGATTAATGCCAAGGTATGTGTATGCATAACAGAATCTCTCGCGATGACACGCCGCGAGTCACGATTTAATTATTGCCGCGCCGCGCGAGAATCTGTTATAGAGCAGTGCATACGGTACACACATGTGAGAAAACATAACTGTATATCGGGCAGCTGGATGCAATCCCGTTTACAATGTTACGGCTATCGAGCGGATCTCCTCGCAATGCATCACGAAGCGCCGTTGCTTATCGCACGGAACTAATTCTTATCTTTCAATATTGCTTTACTATTGAGTCTATTATTGTATATTGAATTATAATATCGATATGTTTTACTATGCAATAAAAATATTTATTAATTATTTAGTATTTTTCTCAATTTAATGTATGTATTGTTAAATAAACTATTTTATAGTTACAGTGACTGCGTTCAGCAAAATGTTTATTTTGCAACTGATAGAAGTTCTGCAGCTTGCCAAGATAGGATTATTTAACTCTAAACTTGAAAGTATAATCCAATCAATGCGAAAAAACTTCCAACAATTGTAAAATAAACGTTCTGCGCTGAAAGCGGCTAATAATTTTAAAATTGTTTATTCAATTATTGTGCAATAATTTTTACATATAAAATTTGTATAGTAATCTTTATATGTCCTTTTTTTTTAAATATAAACGTTTGGAATTTAATTATAGACCCATTAAAATATGATATCTATTTCCTAAGAAAATAATTTAAGAGATCTAGTTTATATAAAAATTTTTAACAGTATTTCATTTAATACATATATAAAAAACTGATTAAAAGACTCTCAAAATTAAAAGTTAATTAATCAGAAATTAGGGCAAATAAGAGTACGGCAGACTGAATAATTGGAAGCAAATTTTACATAAATTTTTATAAATAAAAACTGTATTTGACTTGCTTTAACATCGAACGTTTCAGCCACATTTGGGGGCATCCTTAGTGAAATACAAGAAACAGTAAGATTGTCACATTCCCGCATAACAGGTTTTATAAATTCAATTACTGTCTCTTTGTAATTGTGAACAGGTAAAAAGGAGAGAGAGAGAGAGAGAGTTTTTTTCACCTATAACTGTAACAAGCATTGAATGGAATGGGTGTGGATGATAAATTTACAAACTACTTACTTTTTATTGTTAAGGTAAAAGAGGTTTATCATTAAAGGAGGGAGGATCTATAAAAACTTGAAATATCAACTGCTAGAAAGGAGAAAATATAAAGGAGGATTTATTGTTTCTTTGTAAGGAAATTGGATACGTAACCGTAGATTTGTTTCGATGTGTGCAAACGTAATGAATATAGGTTTAACATTTCTTCTAACTTCTCTTTTTTATTTGGAGAATAGTCATTGAAGCACTTTATTAAAATTTTTATGTTCTTGTTTAGAAAAATGACAAAAATGATTTTTTGTCTAGAAAAGGAAGATTCACAAATGTGTATTGGAATCTGCCGAGAAATCTCATAGATGTAAGATTTTATGTTGGAAACGATTGACAGTTCTATATACATTTAACTCCAATTTTAGTAATTTTAACGTAAAGATGTTACAAACGAAAGTGGCTTAAGTTAATCACAGATTCATATAAAAAATTTAAATGTGAAATAATGTTTTACGAGAGATACAAAATTTAAGAAATCTGATTCTGACTTTACTTTTTATAATAATATTTTGTCGTTTGATCCCCACAACTTTGTGAGTCTGATCGCAGTTTCACCAATGTCATAAAAATAAAACTAAAGAACGGGCAAACGTAAAGAGCAACGCCTAACATTTCAGCCTGCACGAATTCAATACAAAAAAACTTATTAAAGAGAGGGACTCTGAAAATATTACAAACAAAATATTATTACATAAAAATTTGATCTTCTAACCCTTCGCACGTTTCTCTTGATTCTGTTTCGCTCAATATCGCCCATGCAATATTGCAGATATTGCCCCCTTATCAATCACCAGCGATTCCTTCACTTTTTTGTGAGCCACCCCGTATACTCTCGCAGGACAAGATTACCCCTTTCATCTTTCTTACCGCCTACACACACATGCTCGCTGAATTTACCTTTTGTCCAGGCCTCCCACTCGTGGCGTCCGGCAAGTTTGAACATTTCTTCTCTTCACGTTATTTATTATCGAGTAAGAGCCTCGGTTAGCCTGTTGTTATCGTCGTATATATAGTTGTAGTTTCTCGTTCACCCACGTTCACAACGACGACGACGGGACTCTTCGTGCCACTGTCTCTCGCACGTGCACATGCAGCAACGAGCACGTTAAGCACGAACATGCACTCACACACGTATACGTATATAGCCTGTGCCGTCCGTGATGTTTCCTCGTGGC